GCATATTGACTCAAGCCTTTAAGACTCTATGTTTGAAGCCTTTATAAAACTTTCATTCCTATCATTTCTTCCTAATCAGGCTATTTATTCACATAAATCATTGAGCTACCTTACTCTTCTCACAACTAGTTAAGAGTTGAATGTTTTGTTATGTACTTATAGTAGAGGTACAATTTCTTCTTCGGAACCAATCTACAACTTCTCCATCAACCTTCATGTTCATATATGTAACCCTTGAGACTCTCAGCAATTACCACTAAGGTTTATGGTTACACAAGATCTATGTTAATGATCTTAAAAATCATTGTAACCATGATTTTAAGTAAAACCCAAAATCCAAAACCCATTTCTGAATTAACGGTGAACAATTAAATGTTCAAGAATTTTCACAAATGAATTGACGATTACAACCTTTTCAGTTTGTACCACTATACATATGAAATATCATTTTTTTTCTTTTTGAGTGATCTTAATGAAATGTTCTCAATCTAAGACATTTCTTCCCAACAAGATCTAGTTTTTTATTTTTTTCTGAGATTTTCATCATATCTATTCACTGAAATTATATCCAACCCTTAATTGTTATTATCCTACACTGGTCAAACAACTACTTCTTCCAGATCTTCGGATTTATATTTAGTTTCGAAATTTAGTTGAAGCTTAAGCTGCCCTTGAATCTGACTTAAAAGAAGCCTTTCACTATTTCTTAATGAATAGGTGATCGTAATTCAACGGGAAACCACACAAACACTTCTGAGTCTCTTTTGACTCTGAAGCAAGAGATCGTTGCCTGGGATCCATCTGCTTTCATGTTAATTTTATTTTTACATCACAGAACACAACAAATATATTTTGTTTTATTTCTTTTACTTTGGCACACTCTTGCATAAAAATATTTATGAGTTTCCCATTATGGTTCTAATTCTGGTTGATTACCTTTAATTTAGAGGACATGTCCTCATGATTTGCTTGATAATTATGAATGAATTGAAATGAAAATGTGGTTTTCTTGGAGATAAGGATTCACAACTAGGTGCGTTGTTTTAAAATTCCTGACATCAAGCATGTCAGTTACACGCCGTCTGGCACATTATGAGTTGTCATGCTTTCCCATGCTACTTTTACAAGATATGGGAACGGCAAGTGGCGATTTTCTATTACCACTCATGACGTATATAAGGGTTTTTGACGGTTTATGTTATGTGACCGCCCACTCAATTATCAAAACCCTCCAAGGCAAAAACCCTTTTCTATCTCTAGTGTTCATCATCTTCCTTGTTGCTTCAATGGTCGGATCATCTGAAACCACTTCATTCAATGATCACTCAAAATCTGTCATAATGTTAAACGTCAAGCCTACTCAGAATCTCATTATCGATCTCGACTCATCACGATATAATGAAATCCCAAGACCCATGATTGAGTGCCTAAGATACTCACCACCAGCTCAAGCCCTAACCCTGACGGACAATGTTCCGTTGGTCCATCTCTCTAAGGCCTATTCATCTGCTACATATAGTCAACAGTATGAAGTCATTCACTTCAAGGTAACTTCTCACAAGACCTCAATTTCTAAATCATGTTTTTGCATAATTTTAGGGCTTGCTATAACTGAAGGACTCGTGGACCCCGAATCAATTTCCACTTCTGCTCTTATCAAGATGTTTTTCCAGATGGGATACAATGGGGATTTGTCCTTATTGTCAAATTTCAGGAAGACTTCTCTACCTCCCATCTAGAATGCTTTATTCAGTCTTCTGTTCAAGGGTTTATCTGAAATATTTGTAGGTTCTGACAACACAAGTCGGATGTTCTACACAATTATCTATGGCCTCCACCATGGAGTAAATCTAAACTTTGGTTCTATTCTCAGGACTCAGCTAATTCAGAGCACAGTTTCATCCACACGCCACACATAGATCTCATGTGCTTGTTTTTGGTCTATTCTTGCCAAACGTGTTCTTGATCACTACCAGCTCCTATTGTTGAAAGATTCGGTGATTGCTGCTATTCCAATTCTGCAAACTTCTTCGTTTATGATATCTGATCCAACCAAATTCAGCTTTTTTAGTTTTATTCCTGGCGTGAAGTTGGACAGACTTCCTCAAGATACTGCGATTATGGCATAATATCGCAAACAACCCTCATATGGTGTTTGCCCCATAGCAGAGGAATTCCAAAAGATACTCGAAGAAGTTAACAGAACAAAGAGGGGAGGAAAGAGAAAAGAGAAAGATGCCCCTTCTAAAGTTGTTAAAACTCTGAAGAAGGTTAAGAAGCCATCTCAAAAACCAAGGTCGCCTTCTCCAGTAGCTCAAGAGGCTTTGGAATCTAGGACTCACACTGATATTCAAGAGGATCCAATTCAGAATGAAGTAGAAGACATTACCGCCACTTCGCAACCACCTATAACCACACCAATTCCAACAATATCCACTCCACCTACATCTTCTACTCTCATTTCTGATTTCGTTTTAAATGCACACTCCACCATCCTCTTCGATACCTACCACAATTCTGATAACCATCGCTCCTCTACCACCACAGCTTTTGTTGGAGTTTCACTTCCTTAGATTTTTTTCCATCCTCCACACCAATCTTTATAGATTCCATTGCAACAACAATAACAGTCACCAATGCACAAGAAGTCCCTGGCACCAAATCGGTTTTGAAAGCAGTTCACACTTCCGACATTCACGCCAACGTATCTTATATGGGGCTAGTGTCAATATGGGTGTCATTCTGGATCAAGGAACTTCTACCACTTCGCCATTTCGTGATGACGATCCAGATATTATGTTTGGGGATAATCAACAGCATTTCAAGATTTTTTTCAGCCCTTTAACCATGCATCAAAACAGTGATGATGATGAAGCAACGATGACTAAAGGGAAATTCAAACAGTTAAATGAAAAGTTGCATTCTATTTTGGACTCTTCCCAATCATCATCCAATTATAAGTTTATGTTGAAGTCTCACCGAGCCACAATTAAGATGCTTACGAAGGAGAAAGCAAAAGTCCTTTGTTAAATCTACGAAGATTATCCAAGCATCAGAGAAAACCACTTCTGAAACGACTGAAAAAGCCAAAAAGCTGCATGATGAAGTCACCAACTTCATGGCTGACTTCTGACGCTCTTTTGATGAGAACACTGAGAATGTTAACAAAGTAATTGCTAGTGTTGTCTCTACTCTGCAAATCAGGAAGAGGCGCTTTCCCGTGTTCTCTCTAAAATCAAGGTTGATAATTCCGAGCTCAATACCTTTGTTGTGTCCAAGATTGAAAAACTTCAGAAAGACCTTGCTACAAAAAACAATGTCATAGAAAAAATTGCTCAAAATATTAAGAAAGCTAAAGTTATTTCAGTACAGTTGAACTGCACCAACAAGCATCTTGGTGATTTGGAATCAGAGAAGACTGTTATCAAGAGTTGTGTTTCGGAGGTCAATCAATATTTGTGAAGATTGGTAGAGACACATGATTCATTGCTCACTGTCTAGGTACATCAACATCTTGCAGACAAACTTAAACCAGTTTTTTTTGATGCTCAATAAAATTGAAGGTGTTTCGGAGAGTGATGCTCTTCCAAAACAAGGGGGAGCACTCAAAGACAAAACCAAGCAAAAGACTTCCGGACCGACTGGTAAAAATGAAGCTTCTGGATCTAAAGGAAAAGAGAAAGTTGTTGATGAGGAGGAGGAGGAAGTGTAACATCCGGGATTTCAGGTATTATTTTTTTATCATTTATTTTTGGAGTCTAAGACAGAGACTCGACGACTTGATGCCTAGAATTGTCGAGTGGAGTCGCGTGGTGATGACTGGATTAATGAGTAGACTCGACGAGTCGGTGAGGGGACTCGACGAGTCCATGTTGGCGACTAAAACCCTAATTTCCCGGGGTCTGATCCCTATTTAAGGGACCTTATAATCCTTCATTGCGGCTACCTTCATCCTTGAGAGCACCAGAGCATCTGAGAGTCCTTGTGAGTGAGGCCATTGTTCATCATTCTTGTGTGTTTTAGCAACAAGGGGAGAGGAAGGTCAAGCTAGGAGAGTTGGAGAGCTTGGATCTACTTTCATTTGGGTAGAGGAGGCTATTGAAGGTATTATTCAGAGCTTATTCTCATGTTTTTGTTGATATAGTCAAATCTAGGGTTTCTTCATGCCTTGATGTGCTTGTATTTGGAGTGTGAGAGGTCCCATGGGGAATTGGTACCTAGATTTGGACCTTAGAAGGTCTAGAGACTCCCAAATGCTCTGCTTTATTCCTTTCCTTTTGAGTTGTAGACTAGGGTTATCATTTTAGAGGTCATTTCACCAAAAGAAGCCTTGTAGGCGTTGCATGGGTGCTAAGATGTGACCTTTCCATGATTATCATGTTTGGGAAGGTCAGATATATAGATTAGAGAAACAGATCTGACCTCAGAAGGCCATTTGAGTTCGAGCATGGAATGAACTCGTCGAGTGCATGAGCAGACTCGATGAGTTGGACTGGGTTATCTTGTGACTCACACAGTTGGTGACTCGCTGAGTTAGGGGAAAGACTCGTTGAGTCAGTTGGGATTTAGGGGACTGGAGTTCATGTCTGAACTCATTGAGTCAGTGCCTGACTCGACGAGTTGGGTCAAGGGGTGGCCATTGACCAACGTTAACCAGAGTTGACTTGTGTTGACTTAAGGGAATTAGTCAAATTAAGTCAGGAAGGTATTAATTAGAGATGTATTCATGCTATAGGAGGAAGCTAGGTTGGAGGACTGAGCGCGAGTGATTATCTGACATCTTCGAGGTGAGTCTTCTCACTATGCCTTACCCGATGGGGTGATTATGTGTGACCGGAAGGTCTTATGTGTATGATGAAAATGTGATGCATGTTGTATATGTAATATGTTATGATATTAGTATGATGATATGGACCGGAAGGTCAATAGAGTTATGGGATGGAAATCCCCTGAGACACTTGGATTGGAAGATCCCATAGAGTTATGGTCTGGAAAGGCGTATGGTTGTACGGGGTATTTTGGGGAACTCACTAAGCATTATTGCTTACCGTTTGCGTGTTATGTATTTGAGGTACCAGTGATGATCGCAGGAAGGCGCTGACACGATCAGTTCACACTTATGGTGGAAATGTTTTGAGATTCTGGGGATTTTGATTTGCACTTATGTTATGTAAAAACAATCGATACACGTTTTCGAGAATTATGATTGGAGTATTTATATTAATTTAAAAATGAATTTTTTTTTTGAAATTTCGGTGTTACAGGAAGAATAATTATCTGAAGGTAAAAAGATTGCAAGGAAGAAAGGCGACAAGGAAATTCATAATCTTTTGAATCTTCGACAAGAGTTAGAAGCAAATGACGCTGATGCTGAGATTGTGAAAGTCACTCTTGCAACTCAGAAGTCCCTCTTTCCTCTATGGACTCTGGAAAGGATTCAGAAGGAGGCAGTCGATGAACCGAGCACTCATTGGTTGGAGCCTTCAATATCATTTCAGCTAGATAACATTGTTGACTCTCAACTTGACTTTCCGATCACTCCTAGGGATTTTCTGTTCAGATGCTTTGAGAAGATTGAGAGAGCTCCACTTTTTGAAAATAATACTAATCAAATGCACTTCTCTTTCTATATTAAGTATGGAAAGCCGCAATTCAAAACATGGAGTTTGCCAAAGATTGTTCTTGTGAAGGTTTATGCTCCAGTTCCAACTGAAAACTTCATCAATATCAAATTAAAAAGGTTCAGAGGAACAAGTCGTGTGGAAGATGATTCTATGCTTGATGGTTTACTTTTCATGAATCCATATGATTGGATTTCTATTTTCCTAATTTTGTCTAAAGAGGAACAGAAGTATGAGATCGCAAAGATGGATGTGGAAATAGCATATGTTTTGAAAAAGAAACGAATTCTTCATCTTGAGGAGGAATCGAAGGATCTCAACAAGATGAATCTAGGAAAAATCCGAAAGGACAAATAGAGTGTTGTTTATCAAAGAAAGACTAATCAAAAAGTTTAGAGGTGTATGTTCTTTTTGGTAAACAAAAACTTTCACTCAACATCTCTCTGAACTACATCATGGAATTAACCGAAGCTTGTAAAAGGGAATGATGTTGTTGATCAAAAATGCTTCTCGGATATGATCAAGTGGTACATTGTTTTCCAAAACACCCTTCACAATTTAATGTCGAAACTGTTCAAGGTGCAGAAAAGACAACAACAGTAGAAGAACTCCTTCCTTATTTGACACAAAGGGGGATATTGTTCGGCTTATTTGTATTGTGTCAAATGTGTTTTGCATAGGTTAATATATTTGATATGGTCATGTCCATTCTTGTATTTATACTTATCGTCTAGCCTATAAATATTGCATGCATGTGCCTATTAGGGTTAACGCTTAGTCGCCAAACTTAGCTCTTATAGAAAAGTTCTCATTGAACTCTTCTAGGTTTATTATAATTAAAGTATGTGAAACTCTTTTGATCATTGTTCTTGTCATTTATTTCATGTTATTTACTATAGAATATATCGATCTTAGTTTTATTCTTCTACACACTAGGAACCAGATCAATACGAAACTCAACCTGCCTCTCTGTAGGCACTCTACAAAAATCGTTTGGGAACACATCGAGTTACTCTTGAACAATCGACACATCATCAATCGTTCTCTTCCTCTCCTCTCAGGTATCCAATACATAAGCCACAAAACCAGACGAACCATACTAAAGGTACCTCTTAGCCCTCGTAGCTTAACAGAGAGCTGGCCCTCGCTGAGCACCATCAACACAGATGACTAATTCTCCCTCATTTGGGTTAGAATCCAAACTAACTGGTGCTCACACTCAAAAATTTCCCATTAGGGCTCAACCAATCCATCTCCACGATAACCTTTTCTATCAAGCGAAGATATAGGAACTTAATCAATCAAATACCACTCGCTAAATAACTCCAAAACACAACCCCGATGAACCCTTGATACATGTACTGGATGATAATCGGTGATTTCCACCTCTAATGAATACTCAAACTCTCCTGGAGAATCACCGAATCTCTTGTTGAGCATAGATGCTTATCCAAAAGCTTCATAATGCCCTCCTTGATCATACCAAAGATCAAAGGAATTTAATCTAGAATATCGTAGGTAATCTCAAACAAATTGGACTCTCACATCTGATCATCCAAGAGTTCGACTCCAGAGCCTGAACTCAATCCCTCACTAGGACCTGAACCACGTTGAGTCACCACCATATTTAAAATAAACAATTCAAACCACCAGAAAACACTCGAAGAATATCACACCATGCAAGTTCCTTAGTATCCTCGTGGCTTCCCTTGGCTCAAGTACAGATCATGTGCTTTTAGTAGTACGAGCCTGTCACACCCCCAAACCAAGGATGGCGGAAACGTCTAGGGGTGGAGGACTTCATGTACAGTATCACAACAATGTGTATAATAGTGCTCAAAGTAAAAACAACCACCATATATATAATTGCAAAAGTTACACCAAAGTATATGTTTACATGTTTCATAAGCAATTACATTATGATGACAAAATAAATTTGTTGACGGTTTAGCGTTCCATCCTCAAAGCGATGAAGTTTTCCTGTTTCACTGATTTCCTGAGAATACAAGTAGTTTTAAAAAGTGTCAACACAAAGGTTGGTGAGTTCATAAGAGTTTTGTTTGAAGTAGAAACCGCTTTTCCTTGAAAAATCGATATAGTTTGATTTCCAGAAAATCCAATATTTTCTTAGTTAAGTATGAATAGAAATATTCCTATATCATGCATTAATGAACTCTATAATGACCCGTAGTGTTCCTCTATAATCGTCCAGTGTATATAAGTTATATAAGATTTAAATTAGATAAAACGTTGAATATAGTGGGTCTGCCCTAGGTCCACAACCCAACGAGGAACAGGAGATGAGGCGGGCACCACCAATTCTAGGCCGACCAAGACTAAATTCTTATATGACTCAACCATATACACTCAGCGACTATAGTTGAAGTCAAACAATTCTAGAGGAAGAATAGTTTTAATATCAATATAACTTTGTATAGAGACCCGGCACTTTGTATTTGTACCCATAGAGATAAAAAGTGATTTTAAATCGACATAAAACTCATTTAGGTTTTAAAAATAAAATCCCGTAAACTTATGGATTGTTCCCTATGTGAGCCGTTATAATCATACTATGACTATGTGAACCTGCCACGATGTTCTCAGTGTCGCGAAAAATAAAATGACATTTGTCACCCGTAGACCTGCAGGTCCAACTGTAGCTAGCAGCAAGGTGTGGGGTGTCAATCCCAATATAGATCTATATACAAGTATCACGTTCTCCCTCAAGGAGATTCTGATTATAACTACCAGGAATTATATCCCGCACTCGGACGTACGGGAGAGAGAGAGAGAGAGAGAGAGAGAGAGAGAGAAATAGAGAAACTCACAATATAGGATAACAAGTTTACGTTAAATGTGTGTGAATATAAATATTTCTTGTATGAATGTACCCTTCTCGTACGAGTGCGTAGAGTGATGTATCATAAACTATACCTATTATAGTTTATCTAAAATGTATGTAATATGTATGAATCCTTTTATGGAAATGTATTAGTATTGTGAATTTATCAAACCATAGATTAACTTACGTGAAATGTGTGCGAATAGAAATCTTTCTTATATGAATGTACACTTCTGGTACGAGTGCGTAGAGTGATGTATCATAAACTATACCTATTATAGTTTATCTAAAATGTATATAATATGTATGAACCCTTTTATGGAAATGTATTAGTGTTATAAATATATTCAAACTATACTTTTTATAGTTAAATAATACGTGTTCCAAAATGAATGGATAATATTTAATATGAATGTCTTAGTTTCAGTTCATAATGATAAACTAACTAGGAAACACATTCAAACATTAAAACTTATGATTATACACTTTGCTCAACATAATACAAAGTGTTATGATATTTACATGCTGTTGGTAAAATTTAGCAATTCTGCCCTGTTTTGGAAAAGTCATAGAAAAATCATACGAAGTCGAAAACTAGATCCGTAAATTCTGAGAGTTCACAAAATGTGTCTAGTTTGCTCATAATTTTTATCACAATTTATAATGACCTCTAACTTGGGTGAAAAAGTCCATAATCACAGACTGGTCCGGATTGTTGTTTGAAGTGATAGGCAGTTTTGTAAAAATCACCATAAATTGTAGAAAAATCGTATGGAGATGTGCAAGTAGCCATTTTAAAGCTAAAAACTTGAACTATTTGCACCTTGTACAGTTTTGAAAACAAAATTATTTAAGATGCCCAAAACAGTCTGTGAATGGAGTTGAACTTTTCTGATGAAGGCTGTTAGAGAAATTTAGTTATGTTCTTAGTGTTTTAACTTGTATTCCCCCCTGAAAACTTGAGAAAACATGAAAATGTAGGGTATGAACTCACCTTGAGTGATTTCAGTAGATAAGTGTTGAAGAAGGAAAGTGTTCAACCCAAGAACACTTGAAGAATCACTTGAAGATTCGAAGATCTAACATAATTATGAGAGAGTTTGTCTAAGATATCCATGATTTGAGTGGAATAAATGGGATAATCATAAAGAGAATGGATTATGCTTACCAAATGTGGGGAAAAGCTCAAGATCAGCCCTTGAATCTCGAATTTCTAGATCGAGAAAGTGAGAGAGGAAAGAGTTTGATCTTCTTGTGAAATGAGAGCAAATGAGAGAAGTGAGGAGAAGGATGAATAATCAGCCCTCAAAAACGTGGGAAGGAGGGATAATTGAGTGGAAAAGACATTGATGTGACCTAGGTAAGGTGGAGAGGTGTGGTTAGTCAAAGAGTGGGTGTGGGGTGGTTGCTTGTGACATTGGATAAGGCAAAGTCAACACTCCACCTTTAATAATTCACCCATTTGATTTTTATTATTTAAATAATGATTTTCATCAAAATATGTTTAAATTATGAATATTTAGAGTTTATTATGTTAAAATATAATTTCTGGAGAAAATCCCGCTTTAAAATCACGAAAAACGGGCTTAAAATGTTAAAAATATCAAAAATGGGCTAAAAATGACAAATATGCGAATTTATGGCCGAGGCTCGGCCTCCTGATGCTGAACTGAGAGAAAGAGGGAGGCAGAACCGAGAGGAGAGGAGAAGGAGGGAAGGAACCGAGAGGGAGAAAGGAGAGGGTAGGAACCGAGAGGTGGGAGGGACAGAGAGGCGCGAACGAAGAGTGGAGTAGCGAACAGAGAGTGGAGTAGCGAACAGAGAGTGGAGGCGGACCGAGAGGCACCGAGAGGGACCGATCGCTCGGTTGGTGAACAGTAGTTTCGGTTCTTGCTCTAGGGTTCGGTTCCTCCTGCTCGGGTTCGGTCTTCTTACTTTCGGTCCCTAAGAAGACCTTTCGGTCCTAAGGAACTTCGCCTCTTATAAGAGGGTTTCGGTTCCTAAGGTCCATTTTTCTCGTTTTCGCCCCGTTTTAAGCCGTTTTTGACCCGGTTAAGGGCCGGAATGACCCGAATGATTCCAAAAAGTTACGGGAAACTTTTGAGAGAGATTTGGGAGAGATTTCTCACACTTGAAGAGATTTGGGAGAGATTTGACATTCTTGGAGAGATTTCTCATACAAAGAGATATTTGCGATAGTTTTCACATACTTGGAGAGATTTGACATTCTTGGAGAGATTTCTCATACAGAGAGATTTTTGAGAGAGATTTCACATACTTGGAGAGATTTGGGAGAGATTTGACATTCTTGGAGAGATTTCTCATACAAGAGATATTTGAGAGAGATTTCACATACTTAGAGGGATTTGGGAGAGATTTGACATTCTTGGAGAGATTTCTCATACAGAGAGATATTTGGGAGAGATTTCACATGCTTAGAGGGATTTGGGAGAGATTTGACATTCTTGGAGAGATTTCTAATGTAGAGAGATATTAGAGAGAGATTTCACACACT